GCGGGAGCCGGGAGCGGAACGGCCCGGCTCCTACCTGGCCAACTATGTGTCGGCTGAGTCTCCCAGCAAGGTTTCCAAACCCGGCCTCCCGGCCGCTGATTCCAAAGCCTCCTTCGAGGCACACGTCAGAGAAAAGTTCAATAGGATGGTAGAGGCCGTGGACAAAACGATCGAGAGGCGGATCGACAAGCTTACCAAAGAGCTGTCCCAGAAGACGGCGGAGCTGCTGGAGGTGCGGGCAGCGTTCGTGCAGTTGTCCCAGAAGAAGCAGGAGGTGCAGCGGCGAGAGCGGGCCCTGAGCAGGCAGGTGGATGTGGCGGTGGAGATGATCGCAGCCTTGAAGCAGCGACTGAGCGAGTCCGAGGAGGAGCTTCACCGGAAAGAGGTGTAAGTGGGGAGGCGAGAGCCGATGGCTTGGCGAAGGCTGGCCAGCTCCTGCGTGAGTGACAGCCCTTGGGGGAGAAGAGAGGGAATGGCTCAGTTGCTTGCTGATTATGAAGCCTGGAGCTCACCAGCTTCAGATCGCTGTATTTCCAGAGTTGTAGCCCATGTGACCATGTCCCCTGCAAGGCAGTGGACAGCTCTCTGAGCAGGTGGTTTTCGTGTTTGACTCCCTAGTGACTAACAGAGCGGGGACAGCTCCCTGAGGTGGTTTTCATGCTTGACTCCCCAGTGACTAATGTCTGCACTTTCTAATGCCTGTGTTGTGCCTCTGGTTTCATGGGGGTAGGGAAAAGTAGAAGCTGTCATCATCATGTAATCTGATTTACACTGACACCTCTAATGCATAGTCTTTTTAAGAAGATACAGGTAGATAAGTAGATGAAGTATGTGAGAATACTAAATAGCACCTTTTCTCTTAAGCCATCTCACCGTGGTCACTCCTGTGGAGTGCAATAATCTCCTGTGCATCAATGAAGCTTTACTGGAGACAGTGTTGAAAAGGCCACGTCCATGTAGTTCATGTCTGGTGTTTTAGACGGACACAAGAACTGAGGAACAGGAATCACTTATTTAGGGATTGGGAAGCAGATTCCCGAGTTCTGACTAACCTAAGCCATCTGAAAATATGTTCATGATGCATCCATTAAAAATGTAGTGATAGCTGATTCATAATTTATACATGAACTACTTAGTTTATTCATCACTTGCTGAAACCTTTCAGGCTTTTCAGAGCAACACAAATTATTTTAGAGAAATGGAAATAAAGAGCCTTGGTAATGGTGTGTCTCTAAACCAGTTCATCAGCTTACAAAGGGAAGACGAGAAGTGGTAGTTGCCATGACACTGATCTTACAAGAAATAAGGAAGGTGGTGTAGGAGTTCAGTGTTGGAAGTTTGGAGGGCTTTCATTACTCCTTCCTGTAGCCTAAGGACAAGAAAGAAATCCACAGCAGTAGGAACCATCTATCTTGAAGCAAGCTGTAGATTTTCCAGAAGAGGGGATACATAAAGTTGGCGGAACTTGAGCTTCTGAGAGCTTCCTTGAAGGGATATTCAACAGAATCCGTCATTTTAAAGTATTGGGTGATCCTCTGGGAAGAGAAGATTGAAGGACTTAAGCTGAAGATAATAGTGGAACTGAGGCAGATTTGAAAGTATGCTGGAGGGAAGCCATGAAGATAACATAGTTTCAAGTAGTTTTGGTATTCTTATCTGGCCAGACTTCCCTCCTGGGCTCTTTCACAGGGTGAGTCATCCTATTCTAGAACAGTATCTTAGAGGGGAAGGGATTTTTCTATTGAAGGTCCTTCTTCCCTCTGCAGACTACCAGGAGACCTCAGGTAAGCAGCTGTTTTAGGCTAGATGCAGAATTTCAGATATCTCAAGTTAAGTGGCATGAATCTTACCCCAGACTAACAGCAGAATGTGTTTTAAAAAATCAAGACTATGATCCCCAAAGGAAAAACATGACTGTTGAGAGAAAGAAACCATTCAGTGGAACAAACCCAAAGTTCTGCAATGCTATAGAAGAAGAAAAGACCTTGTGGGAAAAGAGGAAAGGGGCAATTGAGTCATTCAGGTAGAGAGAATGAGTATCATATGGGAGGATGGCAGAGGACACTGATCTTTGAAAAGAAAAAGACAGCTTAAGTTTTGATTTTTAACTGTATTAGGAAAAGGAACAAGGAAGAGACCAATTGCTCTTTGGCAGACTACTTAGCAGCGGCGCTGTCAGGCTGGTGTTTTGAGACCCAAAAAGACTGAATACAGAATGAGAAGTGGGAAAACATTGTCCTTCACACTAGGACATTGTCAGACTCAGGAAAGAGGCAGGAGCTCAGATGATTGCTGTTAGAATTCTAGTCTTGAAAGAAGGAGGGTGAATGCATAAACCAATGATGAGGTAGCTCTTAAGTTGGTATTACAGGCAAGGCTGAAGGTTACTTGGCTAGTAAGAAACACTAATCAAGAGAGGCAGCTGTACAAGAGACTTCAGAGTACAGGATATTGCTCTTTAGGATTTTGGTTCCACTTTGAACAAAAAGCCTTGGAACCAAGAGCAGCAATAGGAATAAGTGAACAGCTCTTACACATGCATGGTAGTGGGTAGGATGGAAAAAGATCATCCCTGAGTACCAAGGGGGGAGGAGGGAAGTCAGGTTATGCTATTGCCTGTGTCTGTGCCCAGCCCCACAGCATTGCCTCTGAAGTTTCTCTGAGGGCACTGGGAGGAGAGGTAGGGTGTAAGAATAGGTTGAATTCACTTAGGGAAAAACTGGGAGTGTGCTGGGCTTTTTCTCATTTAGATGGTTCCTGCATTTCCCATCTTGGGGGATAACAAGGTGCCATAGAAAAATGCACCGTTTGGCTTTCCAGTTGAAAAGTCATTGTATAATTAGCAAATTGGGAAGGAAGGTAGGTATAAAAAAAATGCTTTGTAAGAACAGGAGGGCTGATAGTTCTATAGCAGCTTTTCAGATTTTATTCTCTAAAAATCTCTAAAAAGCTAACTGGGACAGTTAGTTTTGCTGCAGCAGCAGGGAAGCACTGGGTGGTGTGCTGTAGCAGATGAGAGAAAAAAGGGTGTTCATGACTTTGGTAACAACAGTGACACTTGTCTGGCTTTCTCATGGGCTATGGGTAAACTCTGAGACCTGTCTATATATTCAATGCTTTGTGTGTTCAGAACTTACTTGGTGTGCTAAGAAGACATTGTCCTTCAAAAAAGGAGGCTCTCAAGATTCTGGAAGAAGTCCAGATGATTAGAAAGCCAAACAAGACTAATAGAAATTGCAGAAGCAGTTTTCACTGCAGATTGTGGAAAGTCAAAGGCATCCCTTAGGGACTGCTTTGATACTTCCTGACCTTCTGAAATAAATAGTTTCATTGGTTTATTTGGATTTTTTTTTTTTCATAAGCAATCTTGTGAATATAGATAACTTTTCCTAAAATTAGCATTGGTGTTGAGCTAGTGTAGCCGCAAATATTTTCCTCTAAGCAGCAGAAAAAAGAAAACACCTTCCCTGAAACATCTGAGTGTTGGTTTAGACCATCAGCAAGAACAAGGCTGCCCATTTCAAGAGCTTATAGAATCAGTAGGGTTATTTCTTTAGACTTGTCTAGTTGATTATTTTTTGTTTGTTTTAAATAAGGCAGTCCAACAAAGACAGCAATGAAGTTACCTTTTTCGTAAAATTTTCTTTGTTCCCTTACAAAAATAGCAGTGCCAATGTGGTGTGTTCTGCATGTTCACACATGCAGGTGTGTGCTGTGATACTGGTGTGAGGCCCTCGTGGGTGTGTTGAGGGGTAGGACTGCTGGAGGTACAACACTGACTGTACTAATATGTAGTTGAAATAGTATTATTCTAAGAACAGAACTGCTGAGCAGAGGAATTATTTAATTAGAAAATGTGTCCTGAAAGGGATTATTCAGTGTTTGATGAAGGAGAATCAGAATGAATACTGTGATCTTAACGATACCACAGAAGCATGCCTAAAGGGTGTAAGACTTTGTTGAATAAGATACCAAGAAAGCCATTGAAACAAAAGTCAGCTATGAACTTAACTGATAGAGGATTGTTTCTGGATGTTATGTAAGAAAATTGAAACTGGTAGAGTTTGATTTTCAGTAAGTCTGAACAGGGTAAGCATTGGAAGCAATGGTCTTTGGCTGGAATTTACCTTCAGTGGTAACTTAAACATTTTCACTTTGTCTCCTAATCATAGAGTAAGATCATTAATGTTGTACCTTGCCATATCTCCCACAGTAATTTCTCTAACCAGTCTAATGTATTTGTTTTGAGACTGGTCATGCCTCTGCTCTGACATAGTCTGGAATGCAAGAATTATTTCAGAATAGCTGTTGTGGGCAGTAGTTGTTCTTGCCAGTGGCTTCACCTTAAGCTTGCAATTAATGAAATGATCTGTGCAGATAACATCTTGACAATGGCATTAAGAGCTGGCTTTTAGAGATTGTGCAATTTGTGCTTTAAAACAGCTTTCCTTAAAATCGGGATTTCAATTGTACATCAAAACAGTTTTGATTTGCTTGAAACAGAGTACAACAACAATTACAAATTGTTCTTCCACCCTCAGTTTTAGGTAATCCTGCTCTCTCTTTCCTGTTTTTTTTCATCTTCCTACTCCAGAGATTACTCCCCGCCATGCAGCTGTAAGGGTTTAAGCTTAACATGACTATCCCACAGAATGGCTCTGTGAAATAAAGCTTAAAATCTTCAGTCACCCCCGTAAATTCAGGGCTCAGATCTAGAACACAGCCCACTGAATGGGTGCGATAATTTTCTGAGGGAGGAGGTGTGAATGTCTTAAATGTGCTTTTAGTGGTGTGGTAATGTGAAACCATAACCTAATGAATAACAGCAGTCTTCAGGCAAAAACACCAGTTGGGTTATGGATAAGGTCACTGGTGTTAATACTTAATGAATTTACATATTAAATATTTTGACAAGTAAATCACTTTACTACTTACTGTGATAGGAATTTTCCTATCTTCAGGTAAAATAATGTGTTTGGTTTTCTATTTTTTTTGGCAGTTATGCTAAATGTAATTTTCTAAAGTGATTTGGTATGGGGTGCAGAATCTGCATGGAGCCTCATGCTTATCTCCACCTACAGAGCAGCTGCAGGTGTTAGTGTTGCTGTGCACAGTCCTGGTGCCAGTGCCATGTATCTGTGGGGAGGGCTTGATTGCAATGTGAGAACTCATTAGCCCTTCTTGTCAGGTGTTAAGGAGCTGGAGCTGTCCCACCCTCTGCATCTACTCAGTGTATCACATGCTTAGCTACTGAAAGTCACATAAATACTAAGCATACCCCAGGATCTCTGTGCTGGCAACTGTACCAGTAAACAAGAACTGCAGCTTGCTCTTCCTAAAGGAACGCTGAATAATCTAGTGGTAAAGGCAGAAGAATAAATGTCACCTAGTCAGCCTATGATTTATAACTTTATTTACCACATCTCAGCCTCCATAAAGAAGTTTTTGGGCTAGGCTGTAGTTAGGATGCAAAATGCCAAACTACTTAAGTCTAGTAGTTAATTCCTTGGCAAAGTCAGATTAAAATAAAAGTTTTGGCAGCAACTTTCTTACTTACAGTGAGTTCTTCACCCTGAACTTGTTTTTTCAGCTGAAGACCTCTGAGGTGCCTGCTGTACAGCAATAAATTTCCCCATGACTCCTCTGGTTTTGGGAAGAGCTTTCTGACACCGGCAGTACAGGCACCTCCTGCTCCTCTTGGATACCTCCCAGGTTGCATTCCCCCTTGTCTTTCCCTTTCACTTGTCTCACCTTGTTGCTGGCAGCTCAATACATTCTCTGCTCACCGGGTAGCAAGAACAATTCTCTCTTCCTGAAAGGTTTCATCTGACAGGAGCACACCCCCAGAGAAAGCAAGAAACCCACCTTTCTTCCTGCTGCCCAGTCACAGCCCTGTAAACATTTTTCATACAGTACACCTTAGTATTGGTAAACTATGAATAGATGAGATTACAGAAATATAAGAGATCTAGGGTGCACTACGCATCATCTACACCACTCAGAAAATGTAGTGTCAGGATCTGTTGCTTACCCTTATAAGTGTTATAAATGCAAAGGCAATTTCGGGTTATATAAAAGAGAAAATTTATTATCAAACAATAATAAATTCGAACAAAGAGAAAAAACCACAATAAAATAAGCAGCGCAGCGCTGGGTGGACAGGGTCTATACGCAAGGTATAGATGCTCCCAAATCCACGCCTGAGAGTCCTTTGGCCTGGGTTTTTATAGGAAGTTTGTGTCCCGAGGCCAAATTCCAAGCAGGCACCCTTTGCTAAGAGGTTCTTGATTGTTCGAAGAATAGATTTCCTGGCACTGGGGAATAGAGTCAATAGACGTTGGGCAGAGGCTCCTCATATGTAAAGAGGTCCAGGATGTCTTTTTGATATCATTTTGGTCCGGGCCATTAGGGTGGAGTGGTGGCACCCATCCTGGAGCCGATGGCTATCTCGGCTGGCTCCTCTTCCTTTGTCTAGTTTCTCCATTTCTCCAGCACAGGTGGTCAGGGCGGAGATGCTCGGGCTCGGCGATATCTCGTCCGGGCCCGTTCCTTTGTTTGTTCGATGGCCCGTGTCCTGCCCATTCTTTCGGCGCTGATGTGCCTGCTTGCAATTGTTATCTGGGTGCTTGGCTGCAATCTGTTGCTTTGGAAGAGAAATCCTGCCTCGACCTGGAGGAGGATTTCTCATTCCATATTTTCATCATTTACAATTACATATACTTTATTTAAACCTTTTCTTTCGAATTTTTATTCATCCAATTCTTTATTACAGTCCCCCACCTAATAATTTGACTACATTAAAAATTCGTATTATTTTATTCAAT